AAGCAGCCTGTAGTTAAATCCACAAAGCTCAGAAGAAGCCCAGACCCTGCCCATAACAGCTGGAGAGCTTCAAATGTGCTTTGCCATTACAGACAGATGGACAGATCTGTGACTTATACCTATAACCCCCTCAGTGGTCAGGATAACATAGAAAGGCCTCCTTCTACCTGACTGAAAGCTTGGATGCTTTTCCTGCACCAGCCAGGCACAAATAAGGGGGCCAGGCCAGACCACAGCCATTAGTGGGTTTTGTGTCGTTTAGAGTCTGTGAAAAGAGCAGAACTGCAGCTGCAGCAGGGCAGGCAAACCATACAGATGATTTATGAATATTCACTGAGCTCACGAAGCACTCCGGGGCAGAAAACAAGCTTTGGAAATTAACTGAACTCTTCAAGGTTCTTGGTTTGTCTTGGCTTTGAGGTGTGAGTCACCAATACTGTTCCTCCGAAACGAGCAGAGTCTGTACAGAGGGCTGGGAAGATTCCTGGGCACTAAAATACGAAGTTAAGCACTCTGTGAGACTTTATGTTCATAAAGCCCTCAAAGTAGAGTCCACCCCATTAAGTTTTATGGGATACAGTACTGATACATACAGTACTGAGACTTCTTCAGCCCATAAAGGCTGGATGTTCAGGACACTTGAGGCTCTTTCCCTGAGCACTGACATCTCCAGCAGCTTCACTCTCCAGTGCCAGCAGTTTGGTGCCCTGCAGTTTTTCAGCGATTTCAGTGTTCAATACAGAGGAGTTTTGATCCTGGCCGTGCAGGCCCCGTCACACACCTTGTCATATCCACCCATGCCATTAGTTTATTGTGGTGCTCTTCAGCATGGGCACTCCTCCTCTTCTAACTGTGCCCAGCAAAGCACGGGCACTGCCTGCACTCCCCTCTGCCAGACTTGGGCTTCTGGTCTGCCTTTGCTGGGTCAGGTCACACACCCTGGAAGGTGAAGACTTCCACCTGTGTTTGGCCAGGAATGGGCTCGATCTAGCTGATGAGACACAAGGTGATAAAGCAAGGAGGTTGTCTTCACACGTTTGCTGTACACACGTAAGGAATAAGAGCTCCTCTTTTCCAGTTAGTTATAGAAATAATAATTGGGTTTGTGTCGGCTTGTAGAAATATGAGACATCTTTGAAGGAATGAAAGAAAAACTCTGCAGATGCTCCAACACCCCAAGGGTTTCTGAGTCTGTGGGTGGTGTGGGAGATCCACTTCTTGCAAAGCAAGCAGAGAGGGTCATGAATTTGGGTGTCCTGCTTCTCAAATGAGTAAAGCATCAGCCACTGTGGACTATCACAGTGGGCTGAACTCAGCTATTCCAAGGCTGTCTAGACATTCCCATCCTAAATCTGAAGTTTCTTCCGGACCCAAGTTGTGTCAGAGCACTATCCTCCAGGAAAAGTTGCTGTTCCAGTGAATCTCATTTTTCTCACCAAAAAAGATTCCATCTGAAAACGGCCAGCTGGCCCTTCCCTCACTGTTGTGCTCCTGAACCGTGGGAGATTCCTCTCCCTGTGAGTCACAGAGCACCCCAGCCAGCCAAGGTGGTCTGCATTAGCATGAATTAGCCCTCATAGCAGGGGCTCATAGCAAAGAACAAGAATTCAGGAAAAGCAATAAACCAGCATCTGGAAAAAATTGTTTCTGGAGTCTCTCTGCCATCCTCTCTGATACCAAAGCCCTGCTTCAGCAAGGTTCCACACGTGGTTAAAGCGAGAGTCCTTGCAGGGTGTGCGTCACTTTGACAGCAATTCTAAATAACTTTGTACATATATGCATTTCTTTCTGTTCCCAAGAAGCTCCACACATGTGCACTGCGGACTGCTTTGTCTGCTGAACAGAAATATTTGTTGACGTGAGGTGAATTGCACAAACAACCTTTTTCCTTGTGACTTCCTTGCTCCCTCCTCCTTTGCCCTTTCTGCTGGATCACACAGCGTGGATGCTGAAGCCCCATCCCCAGAAACACAGCCTCTTCACTCCTGACGGTTTAGGGAACTGTTTCTGAAATCTCTGGCTCCAAATTCTGCCTTGAGCATCCCTGTGACCTCTCCTTTCTTTGCCCTGCAGGCTGATGCCAAGATGGTCTGCGACGTCGTAAGTCGGATGGAGGACACAGAGCCCTTCTCTCCAGAGCTGCTGTCAGCTATGATGAGACTCTGGGCAGACTCTGGGATCCAAGAATGCTTCAACCGGTCCCGGGAATATCAACTTAACGACTCAGCTCAATAGTGAGTATCCCTGCCCATGGTCTTTCATGTTAAGAAGATGCATTTGGGCTTGCCAAAGTTCTAACTGATGTTAGGGACCTCGTAGCAGTGGAACTGAACGTGTCTCTGCTTACAGACTGGGGTGTGTGTTGTGTCACAGGTTGCTGCATGGCAGAAAGGATCAGGCAGGACATTTGTGTCCCTTTCTGGCCAGTTGGGGGTCAGGTCCATGACCCCAAGGCCAGGCTCCCATATTGCTCCCAACAGCTCAAGGTAGGTTTCTGCAGACATGGATCTAGTGAATAGAGGCAGCTCAACCCATGGGCATGGCTGATGGCTTCCCTGTCTATCTGACTGTGCACAGAAGAGTGTGATCACCTGCTTTGTGCAGCACTTGGGTTTGCTTTTCTGACGGTCGTTCAGTGTACTGGTAGATCAGCTGGGCTACAGCCAAGGGTGAGGGACCTCTTTGCTTTTCCAGTGGTGTTGTGTTACTCCTGTAATACAATCAGAGGCATCTTTGCCATTAGGGACCACATCCAGGTGTTTTTTAATGGCAGTTGTCTGAACCCATGGCTCTGGTTCACCCCGTCATAAGGACAGGACATCTGCCCATCAGTGGCTGCTCTGGCTCTGAAGAGCCACTGATTGTCTCCCCAGTTTCAGTTCATATCCATTGATTGTCTCCCCAGTTTCAGTTCATATCCATCTGTAATGATAATTCATTGGATCCGTTCATCTCCACCCAGGCCAGGTTGTCATCCCATCGTTTCAGTCGCAGCAGTTGTTGCAGTCAGGCAGAATGTCCCCTGGCCCTGCACTGAGCCTGGGGCAGCAAAAGGTGGTTCAGTATAAGCATAAGGAACAGGCAAGCACAGAGCAATTATTTCTCCACTTGTACCCTTAGACCTTTTGGTAGTCAGGGAAATAGAGGCTTCCCAATGGTGTCAGGGCAATGCCACGTCCAAGCTTTTGGCTCAATATCCCACATCAACAAGTTCACCAGCTGTTTCCTGCACTTCTGGAGGTTCTGCTGTGTGTCTGGATTGTTTGGCAACTCTGCTCAGGGTTTTCCTGGATATCTATCAAAACATGAACCCAAGCAGTGGCGTGGCTGCTGGTTGTGTTCTGTGTGGGGGGCCTGGTGTTCCCAGCCTGTCCCAGCTCCTCCCACCCAGCTGGCAGGGCAGTTTGGGAGCGGGGCTGCAGCAGAAGGCGAGTGATGACACATCACTTGGCAATGGTGGAAAAACGAATGGGAAACCTGCAGATGTGTGGCTGGTGACACAGCATCCAACCCATCCATCCTCACACCTCAGAGATGATCCCAGCATTACGCTGCCTTTTAATCAGTACGAGGTGGATGCCCATGTTTAATCTACATTTCATTGCCTGTAACAGCAAAATCAGCCTTCTGTTGCCGGCAGCCTTTTCTTTTTTCACGTTTTTTTCCACAAAAGAAGGGTATGATGGCATAAACATACCTTTAGAGATATAAATTATCTAAAATGCCAGTCCTAATTGCGTTACAACCTTGTGAAAAATTCTTCAATTGTTTTAGAGCCAATTACCTTGAGGAAAGTATTTTGATTTTCCTTCCATGCAAGATAGCAGTTGAAAATAATAAGCAGAGCCCTCCCAATGTGACCAGCTGCTGGGCAATTCATCAGCAAGAGCTCTGAAACCATGAGCAGTTTCTAGATATGAGCTGAAGAGGCTCTGTGCTGTGGTATTCACAGCAATTTCAGTGTGGGGTTGCAGCCCAGCAAAATGAGTTTCGATGCCTTTGACAAAATCACTCTCATCCAGAGGAGGCTGCACGATCCTCCTTGCCAGGGGAGCTGTGTGCTGTGCCTGGACACTTGTTTTCCCTGGGCTGGGTTGGATAGTGAGGCTGAAGATGGCAAAGTCCTTGTCATTTACAGACCTGCTGGTGTTGAGGAGCCTCTGGTGGTTCCGTCCCTGGGAGCAGAGATGCTCTCCCAGAGCAGGGCACAGGAACACATCCTGCTGCACCTCTGGCCCTGGTGCCATCACACTAGATGGTGATGCAAGTGAGAGCTCAGTTGGCATTTATTCACACCCAGTGGACTCCCAGTGAAAAGAGGCATATTTTTCATTTAATCCTTCAATGCTCTGAGGTTGTTTTCGTTTCCATAACTGAAAGATTTTGGACAGCTTTATATTTTTTCCCCACCCTGAGAAAGGGCTTATCTTTTTTGACACTGATGCTGGATTTAAAACACTAACAACTACAAAATGTGTTTTCATTAGAGCTAAGAAAAATAAATTCCAGGCAAGAACTGAATCTGAAGTTCCCCAAAGTTTGAGAAACACTGACAGGCAGTGAGCCAGACTGGCATCGCTTTTATTTTGGGCTTCTCTTGGTGCTAAGCCACAGGGACTAGGGGGTTGCTGGCAGGAGGGAAGTTTGCTGCAGGAATTGGAGGTGGTGCTCCACGGCTGCTCAGCACGTGTCCCAAAGCCCAGAGGCACCGAGGTTGTGTCCTGGGCAGCACAGGGGGGACCTTCAGCAGTGACACTTCCCTTCCCCCAGAGCCCACCCCCCACATGCCCTCCCTGCTTTCCCAACCTCCCCCATTGCCTGTCTGTGCCTGAGGAGCCACCACCTGGGCTTCTCTGAGTCAGGGCTGCTGTTGTTCTTAATTGCTCTTCCAGTGCTTTACCTTGAGGTTTGTAAATGTCTGGGACAATGGGCCTTCTGTCAGGCCCCTGGGAGGCCAAGTCACAGGCTGATCAGCAGCCTGCAAGATCAGCAGCACAGCTCTTACCAGTCTGTCATCAATATCACTGAAAATAAATTGAATATTTTGTATTAGGCTAAACGAGAAGTGAGTTGTAGCTCTGCTCTCCCATCAAAGATGGGCAGGAGCACATTGCTCTCTAGTCTCCAATACACACTCCCTTAACACCTCCCTGCAAGGCTTGGTTTATTTTAGGCTCCAAAGTCTGCCTGTCCTTAGCAAGGATTTTATATCTACTGCAAAGGAACGGTAGAAAACAGCACTACTGCAAAGAAAAAACATGACTGGGGAAGAGGGAAGGTTCTGTAATGGACCTCCTGTGCCTTGGACTGCAAACAGTAAAACCATAAGGATGGCAAGAGAAGGGAAGAGAGTAAGATGTTTCATCTTTTTTTGTTACTGCATTTTTTCGTAGTTCCCTGAGGCAAATTTACGGGTGGGTTGCGTTCCACATTCCTAATATCTTGATTATGTTTTTATTCCTATTTTGTCTCCTCTTCCTTTCTTGTCTTCGTGCCTAGGAGCTAAATCTACCTCTGATCATCAAAGAGTCTGGGCACTGCTGATGTCTTTTTCTTCTCTAGCCAGTTTCTGTCTGTGGAAGCACATCTGTGACCCACATTTTGCTTTCAAAATCAGCAAAAGAGAGGTTTCCAGCTGGTTTCCCTAATCTCCTACTTTTGTTCAGATTTTAAAATCGTCTTGTGTTTCCTAGCCTCGAGTTCCTAACTAGCCTGGTCAGTGGAGTGCAGCACACAGGGCAAGTCTGATCTTCACCACCCAGGATGGGGACCTGCTGTGAACAGCCTCCAAACTTGAGGGGGGAAATGGAGCAGACGGAGCATCCACACGAGCTCCGATTTTCCATGTGCGTCTCCAAACAGGCACAGGCCCTGCAAGATGTGTAGGCAGAGACAGTTTGCAAGTACACAGACACAAAAAAGCCAGAATCCATCTCGAGTTATTCTCCTCCTGCTTCCAAGTACTTTGAAAGATCATTTGATAATGCCAGGGCTGTGAAACTACCGTGAAAATGTAAAATATTTTAGGCCTGCATTCAACCCATCCATCTTCACACATATCAGAGGTGTCAGGGCTAGGAAGCTTGTTGCCTTTGGCTCTCTCAGTCAGGAGCAAAGGGAGGGAGAGATGCCTCCAGAGAGGGATACAGACCTCACTGCTCAGTGGAGAAAGAGAGATGCAATTGTGTCTGCTGCTCTACCACAGCTGTCCACAGCCCTGACATCTCAAGTCTGTGCCAAATACCAAGCCCAGACTGGACAGCATTTTGCTTACTTCATCTTCAAGAACTGCTCTGGCAGAGCCTTATAGAAAAGCAGCACCAAACTCAGAATAAAATACTGCAGCCTTCCTTCTCACCCCATCTTGTGTGGGACTGTTCTCTGATCTATTTTCCTTGCAAAAGAATTGTCTTTGCACGATGCTATCACCTTCCCTACTGATACTTACTGCATCCCACGTGCCTACACACACTTTGCATCAGAAAAGCAGTTAAGAAAGTAGAGCCAGATGTTGTTGTGATGTGGTGAACAGCTTCCAGATTGAGCCCTGACAAGGCAGCACTGAGAAAGGCTGCCCAGAGAGGCTGTAAAATCTCTGTCCTTGGAAATGCTCAACACTGAGCCACCTGAACTAACTTTCAAACTGAATTTAACTTTTAAATTTGGCCCTGCTTTGAACAGGGGGATGGGCCAGATGAACTCCAGAGGTCCAACCCACTCTGGCACTTTTGGGTTTGTTTTTTTTTCCCATCCCTCTTTCTCTGATAACACCATGTTTATGAGAGAGAAAAGGTCTTGGGGCTTTGCTGCAGTCTCCTGTTTCTAGTCGTGCAGGACCGTGCAGCTCCGTGACAACGTCCACATCCCACAGGTCCCGTGGTCTAAATGTTTGCCTTGCTGGTGAAGCCAGCAAGGTAAATGTTTAGACCGTTGGACTTGTGGGACATGGACATTATGCACGACTGTCAGGGCATGATCCATTTTAATGAGCTGCAATTGTTGCTGGCGCGCTCAGACTGAAGGAAGGAAAATTATAGGTCAAGGTTTTGCATTAATATTCCCGTCAGGTGCACAGATTCCATTTTCTCATCACGGCTTTTGCATTAGAATATGGTTTTCTGCACACCCGTCTTACTCGTGCCTGTCACTTGTGCTCCCTTGCATTTAATTGGAGGCAGTAGCAGCATAAATGGAACAATCCAATTAATCGGGATGACTTGCGTTGCGCTGTTTATTGAACAACCCACCTTTGTGTCTTGGAGCCCAATAAAGCAGAAAGGCAAAATACATCACAAGTGTAGAGGTAGGTACATTTGTCTGAATTTATGGTTTAATTTACCCCAGTAAGTAAATATGCCCACCAGCTCTGAATAATTAAGTTCCCCCTACAATAAGCAAACAAAACAGTCCATAAAGGCCAGAGCTGGTTGACTGGAATCACCAGCCTGGCTCCATTCCCACAAATGAGATGCAAATGGATTTCCAGGGAGGAGCAGCTCTGCACTGTCTGCTGGGGTTGGGTCTGGAGTGGGGCTGTTTCTGGTCAGTGTGAGGACATGGGCAGTCTGAGCTTCAGCTTGTTACGGTCCAGCAGGGCTTGGGCTTGGCAGAGGTCTCAGATTTCATTATTATCCTTATAAATTCAGGAATTGCTATTGTTATATGGCTTCACCTAGGGCTGAGTGTGAGGTGGAGGAAGGGCACAGCAGGAAAGACATTGTCTTTTAAATCAGCTGGATGTTTTCTAGCATCTCACCCCCCAGTCTTCACCCACCTGGAACACCCAGTTTCACCAAACTTGGGTGCAATCTCTCCAGAGGCTGCCTCTTCTGGCCCAAAGCAGGGTGGATGGAGACCCCATCACAGTATCCTGAAGGTGGGTGCCAAGCAATGCTCACCTTCCCATCCCACCAGGAGAGCATGAGGATTGAGCTTCCATAGCAGAAAACTCACCACAGGCAGAGGACTGCAGGACTCTGCATGACCCAGCTCCATCACAAGGTGTTGGCACTTGTCACAGTGCCCACTCCCCTGGGCCCCTCTCAGATCCCACTGGCCCCTCTCAGACCCCAGGGCAGAGCAGAGCTCCCCCAGACCTGCTCTCTCCTGGGTTCAGCCTCTCCACGGAGCAGAGGCTGCACAGAAGTGTAGTCCCAGGGCTGGGCTCTTCCCTTTACCCTTCCCAAGCCACACATGCAAGTCATCAGGGAAAGGGGGAACAGTCTCAAAAGACATTTCCTGCCTGAAATTCATGCAACCTCTAATGAAGATGAAGGAGAAGGGAAATCAGGACCTTCTATCCCATATGAGCACCTGGTTTCTGAAGGACTGTATCCCCTCTTGGTCCATGGGAGAGTATCTGAGATGCCATCAGCCCCCACTGGAACACCAGGAAAGCATTCACCAGCTGAACCAGAGCTCCAAAGCTTTGCTCACTGCCTTTCCATGGGAAATACCGAATCCAGCAGCCAGCTCCGCTGAAAACTCAGCACTGCTTTGGATATGGATCTTGCAGGCAAACACTGGTGGTACAGTGTTGTCACTTCCCCTCTTGTAATCCTTCTTTACACCCCAAAATTTCTCTAAAATCCATCTGAAGAGACCCAGGAGGTACAGACTGCACTGCCAGGAGGAGCAGATAAGCTACACAGGTAGTTCATTCCTTGGAGACAAAGATGTAGCAGTACCTGCCACCTCCCTGACATTTTTCATTGCTGTGTTGCATCGTAACAGTGTTGTCTTTGGCCTGGGGATTAGTAAAATCTTGACATCTTGACTAAATAAATTGCTATTTAATGACCCACGATACCAATCAGGGCTGTCCCCGTTATGGCAAAGCTCCCACACGAGAGGGAGGGAGTCAGGGTAGTTCACTCTGCCTGGAGGAGGGAGCACTGCAAGAATTTGGGAACAATCTCTTCTCTTTTCACACTTTGCCAAGCGATGAGGAGCAGCCAGCACCACCTATAAACACAGCACAGGGCATCCTCCCCCCAGCAAACCTGCTGAACCGTAGTCCTGAACCCCGGGTAATCTGTTCTCGTCTCCGACTGACAGACCCAACAGGAATTTCTTCCTGCCTGGCGAAGGGCTGTGGGTGACAGATTCGGCACAGAAAGATTGGACTTTTTTTGGCTGAGTATTTGTGTATTTTTAGGCTGAAATGTCCTTACGAAACCAGCTGGAGCTGGCAGGCTGCCACCGAGGGTTGGGGTTGGGTTTTTTTCGTTCGGTTCAGTTTGTTTTTTCCCTGCTGCCCCTAGTGCTGGCTGCAGCCCCCTCTGCCACCGGCTCTGCCCTCCCGCAGGCAGCACTCACACCCTGCACCCAGCCCGTCCCTGCGGGCTCCCACCTTTCACCCCATCCCTCCCACGCGGGGCCGTGGCAGGGCTGGGATGCAGCTTCACAGCCAAGGAGTCCAGGCTCTCCTGGGAACCCGCAGCCCCCGCTCCTCCTCTCCTGCAGAGCCACGGAATCCAAGCTTCCCTCTCCCTTTCTGCACCCTGCGTTTGTCATAGCCTGCACCCCCAGCTCTGCCCTCACAGCCTGCCCTGCAAACAGCCCCACTCATCTGGGGTGAGGGCAGGTGTCTCCTGAGAGCTGCACAGAGAGGCTCTCGGGGCATCCTGTTGCTCTGAGAGGCTCCCTAGGGAATGGGTTGGCTCTAGCAAGGCACATGTCCCCCTGTGCGGGTGATTCCTGCTCCGTGCCAGCACCCAGCTCGTCGCTCGCCGGGGTCTGTGAGCCCTGTGAGCCCTGCCCGGCTGCCCGCACCCTCCCGGTGCTGCAGTGTCTGCGGGCAGAGCTGCCAGGGACCGCCCTGCCGGGGCTCTTCACACGGCTGGCGGCAGGTCTGGCACCGTCTGCGGCGCCGGGAGGTGAGCGTGGTGCTGGCACGTGGCTTCCCGGCTATTTGTTATCTCTTTGAAATCCTTAAATGGCAAAGAAGGGCAGGAACGCAGGGATTTCTCTGTAGCCAGGCTCGGGGTGGAGCGAGCTGTCCTGCACTGGGCTCTGCAGGCAGCAGCGGGGACGGGGTGACAGAGATGCTGCGCGGTCCCCCCACCGCCATCCCCAGGCCCTGTCCCAGAAATCATTCCAGTTCGGAAGGAGAAGTTGCAAGGGCACTCAGCTGCAGTCTGTGGAGCACACAGCAGCACTCGGGAGCTCTGGGGCAGAGCTGCCTGCACCAGCCACGGGATGAACAGCCCAGGAGGAGCCACTGCAGCCCAGGACAAGCCCTGCCCAGCAGGACTGATGAGCCCCGTGTGCTCAGGATGCAGTCATCTGCCTTTCCCCCTCCTTCATGGTTTCATGGCCACAGCCTTTCCCTGCCCCAGGTTTCTCAGCTCCCCTCCCCTGACTGCAGGAGGGGCTGTTCCTGCATGGGTCAGCCTGGCCCTGGTCCTGCCCCTGCTCGGGGCATGTGCTGTGCCAGAGCGGGGCAGTTTGTCAGGCCCACAGACGTGCAGTTGCTGCCATTCCTTCCCCCCACCCTCTCTTGGGGGCCAGACAATATACAAACACACACCCTTCCTGCTGGAAGAGTGCAGCATCCCCATGCTCAGGTTAGGAGTTTTATCCAAAATCCAAGTTCAAGGTTAGGAGTTAAATCCAAAACCAATCACAAGCTTAGCTAAAACTCCTCATTTTTCAATATATATTAAGACAACCATTGGAAAAGTGCTTTTATCTACTGCTTCCTAAACCCTTTGACTTATGCTTTAAAGCCTTTTGTCTGTGAACAGGACAGCTGGAAAGTCCTTTTTTATTTCCTTAAGCAAATAGTCCATCTAATAACCAACCTTGAGGGGCTGAGGCTTTAAGAGAGAACAAAAAATGAAGGGGGGAAAAAAAAGGATATAGTGAACATTGTGACATGCTGTGCAATCACAGGCAATGATGGTTTGAGGCACCAGATGTGTGCCCATGAAGAGAGGGTGGCACAGCCCCTGGGAGGAGGGCAGAGCTGCCAGGCCCCCCCAGAGCCCCTGGTGCTGTGGGTCAGCAGGCTGGAGCTCCTTGTCTTGGTTCCCTGGGTTCCCTGTGGTGCCTCCCTTCCTGGGCTATGCTGCCACCCCAGTGCCAAGCAGCAGGTTTGCTGGGAGCACCAGCACTGAAAAGAAACTTAGTGCTCTAAAATTGCATGCCAGGCCATGAAACACCATGTGAGCAGTCACTGTAGCTCTGAGGCTTTGACAGCATTTTTAATGGCATAAATTGGAATTTCCCAATCCCTCAATACTGCTCTTGGTACATAAGGTTTGGTGATAGCATAAAAACCATTTCCAAATCCTCCTTCAGGAAAATACCAGCCAGCACATCCTACTGAGCAGCATTAATGTCAGTTTAAACATTTTCACTTAAACATCTCCACGGTCTTGCAGTCCCAAATATGAGAAATACTGTGCCAAGGAGTGTGTGAGCAGTGAGGCCAAATCTGCAATGGGCAGGAACAGGAGAAAGAAAGGGAAGGAGGAGGCTGATGCTAGTTACAGATGCTGAGAGCTGGGAACCAGTAACAGAGTCCAGGCAAAAACCTTTGCTCAAATTAAACCAACCTTGGAAGCATCAACTTTGCATGAAGAAATCCCCAGAGGACCTTGTCACTGAACAAAAATGCCTAAACGAAGAAATGACACAAACACAGGAGTTACAAAGAAAGTCAGGAAAAAAGGCTGCCCAGGAGCTCACCTGCCTGGACCCTGCCCAGGGGACCACGCCTGGGGGTGGAAGAGTCTCCTCCCCACACGTGATAAAGAGCTGCCTGTCCTGCTCCACTGTCTCCATGCAGTCCCTGCACACGGAGCAGCAGTGCAGGTCCCAGGGGGACTGAGGGGAGCATCCAGCACGGACCCTCCTGTGCCTGAGCAGCCTCTCCTCCCCGGGGCTGCTCTCTGGGCAGGGCTGGGTGGGTTTCCTATTTGCCTGTGTTTCCCAGCACCAGTGGAACTGCCCCTAAGGGGAGCACGCAGGCAAGGCAGTGTGGCTTAGCCCTGCAGTGTTCATTCAAACATCTGCAATCACTGTGGGAGGCTTAAGAACATCTGCTTAAAATAACTGGTAGTAAATAGAAAATGTGCTAAATGCAAAGGTCACCCACATGACCTGTTCATCTTACCAGGGCTTTCTCTGACTGCAGTGCAGGCACCCTGAGTGCCTGAAGGAGCTGCCCAAGTCTCTGCTCTGCCATTCCTGTCAGCTCATCCTGCATTTTTCTTCCCTTGCCCCAGAACAGAAGTGCCATCAGCGGTCTGTGGGCTGTGTTTTGACCCTGCTGACCCTGGTTGGTGTGTTGCTACTTTGCACCAGCTTTACAGGAAATCTGGGTGCAGGATTAGTACCAGGATCCTCTCTGAAGTCCCAGCAAAGAGCATCACAGAGTGGGACTCCCTGGCTTGCCAGGGCATCCCATGGTGACAGTGGGGAGCAAGCAGCTTTGCTCCATGGGAGGGGAGAGCTCCTCTGAATGTACAACTCACATCAACAGGGGAGACCTGAAGGAAAATTGGGCACTCTCCAGTATCTCTCTTTACACATGCTGCCTTGCATCCCCTGCCACGTGTTCCCATAACAACAGAGCCACATTACACACCTCTGTGGTCTCGGCTGCGGCCCTGCAGCTGCTCCCCTTGTACCACAGTGTGCACGTCCTGCTGGCTCCCTGCCCCTGCATGCCCGGCCTGGGCACATGGGAGATGATCCCAGGGAGCACTGGCTGCCTGCTCTCTGGCCCCTTTCTTTACAGTGCTTCTCCTCCTCCTTTTTCCTCACCCATGCCTTAAATCCCCTCAGCCCAGTCCCCAGCCCTCGGGACAGGTGGGTCATGCAGTGAGTGTGTGAAGACCCCACATGAACAACATTTATGGGATGCAAAGGCAAGGGATAAGCAACAGTGCAGATATGACCCAGGCCCATCCTGCAGCCCTCCCTGTATGGACCTAAGTGGGCAATCCTGGATTCGGGGGTTATTTCTATTTCCACTTTGCAGTGGGAGCCAAAAAACCGCTTTATTTTGAGAAGCTTCAAACATTGATTGGATACGGCTGATCCTTCCATCAGCTGGTGCAGTGCCACCAGATGAATAAATCTTGCATGCATCTGTAATTACTGCTTAGCTTGTGTTTAAATGCAGTGTCATTGATCTGCAGAACTCATCAAAATCCGTACAGGAATGCATGAAATTATATTGGATGAAGCAGAAAAGTACATGACAACATCCATTTTCAGCCTTGTTTGTTCGTCAGAAAAAGAAGAAAGCATTTATTTATCTCTATTCAAATACTTGGGTTGAATTGTGATTTAATCATCAACTATAACACCATTTTATGGGCTGCTCTTTATGTAGGGAATATATTTCTTTCTTATAATAGGTCTTAACATAATACCTTAAATTTCTACCACCCTTTCACTATCTGCCCCTACATGGGCAAAATCCCTATGAAAAGCATGGAAGAATATTGCTTAAGGGTTGTAAAACCCAATTATGGAAAGGTCTTGTGGTCAAAGCTACTGACTGCAGTTTAGGGAACCCAGAGTGACTTCCAAGTGCCACCACAGACTTCCCACCGTGTCCTCAGGCGAGTCATCTATCCCCTTAGTGCTTTTATTCCTCCCAAAGCAGGTGTGATGAATAGTATTTCCCTGCTCCGGGGGGAGGCTGGGAGGACACATCAATCCTGAGGTGCTCCAGCAGCAGGAGCAAGGACGAAGCTCGTGCTAAGCGGCATCTGCTCGAGGTGCTCTCCTCCCCTGCTGCAGGCAAGGGGAAGCTCACCAGAAGCATTTATTGGCAATAAAGCCCACATTGTCTGGAAGAACTCCTGATGTTTTCCAGACCTCAGGCTGCTCTGGCCCAGCTCCATCCTCCCACTGGAGGGGGAGTGCTCCTGGGTCAATTCTAACTTCTCCCACAAGCAGGCAGGAGCCTCTGGTGCTCCCAGCGGGTTCACTGCAGCACCTTGGCCTGCAGTGACCCGGTGTGGCCACTGACAGGTCCACAGGCAGACAGCAGAGGCTGCTGCTGGCAGGGACATGTCCCCAGGGCACAGGGGGCACAGTCTCAAGGGCAGAGACAGCTGTCCCCAGCCCTCATGGAGGGACATGCCTCTGAGCTGGTATCCTCAGCTCATGTCCCACAAAGCCACCCCAGCTTTGTGGCTGGGCTGTCCCATGAGGAGTATCCCAAAAGGGTTTTGTCATGCACGTGTCCCTGATGCATCCTCAGCTGAACACAGGGATCAGCCCACTCCTGCAGAGACCTGGCAGCAACCTGAGCCACCGTCTGGAGGACTAATCCCAGGGGTGGGTGTGTGGTGACAGGAGACCAGGATTACAGAGCTCTGAGGTTGCTTGTGCCAATAAAAGAGGGAGAAAGGAGAAGTGGGGGGTCAGCAGGACCGTCTCGTCAGCACAGCCTGGCCCAGGTGACAGGTTGTCCTGGTGGGAACGATCGAGCTATTTTGATATATGGCAAACAAATCTTCTCCTAACAATGATTCAGCTGAACATTTCCTCAAGGGATGAGACACTCCATGAATTTTCCCTTATGTGTCTCTGCTTCTGGATCCGGCCTGGACTGAAATCAAAGTGCTGAGACACCACAAGCAGGGCTGCTCTCGGAGGAGCCTCAGCCTGACAGCTGCTGAGAAGGACCAGAAAGTCCATTTGCATAGCACAGGTTTCACATGCCCAAGAGATCCACCTATGTCTGGGATAACCAAGATATTTTTAGTGTGCAGCCAGGGTGAAAATTTCCAGGTTTTGCTTTTGCTACCTGTGGGTCACACCTGTCCATGGCAGAGCACCAGCTAACTTTGGTACCCGTGTTTTGTGGCAGGGATGCTTAGGTGGGATTTGAAGGCAGAAATCCCCATAGCTTGCTAATAGATCAGGAAGATGGACAGATGAGAAGATCCAGAGGTACGATTCCCACTCCATCGCTAGCAACACGTCTCTCAGCAGGGTGAGTGGATAAATGAGGCCCTTGAATGAAGCCAGCTCCTGGAGACCCACCCCACACTTCATAATTGCACCGTGGTCCAGCCATGGACATCCTCCAGCTGCTTGATACGAGGGCACAGATGTCATTAACTGGGGCTTTCCTTTGCAGCATTAGAGCTGAACCCCTCATCGGTGCTATCCCTGCTGCAGGCAGACACCTAGCACTACAAAACTGCAGCTACAGCTAATTTTTTCCTTCCAGCTTAGAAAAGGAGATGTTGATGTTAATGCTGCTTCCCCAACTGCCACAAGTGTGTGAATACATGTCCCAGGGCTTTGTGCACACCCTGATGAATATCTCTGGCCAGCGGCTGAGCAAAAGGTTAAAGTCTGTGGGACTGGTTTCATCTGTGGTCCCAGCTGTCTGCTTTCCAGGATTGAAGTCATTCTGAACAATTAGCTCGTTTGGCCTCGGGGCCAAATTTGCTGGGCTGCCCTGCAATGTGAGGAGCACTGGGGTGAGGAGCACTGGGGTGAGGAGCACTGGGGTGAGGAGTGCTGGGTGAGGAGTGCTGGGTGAGGAGTGCTGGGGCAAGCCATGCCCCGTGCACTCGCTGGGGCTGTGGCACAGCAAGCTGGGTGTGTTGATGTCTCTGCCCTGGTTGGGCTGAGCAGATGCCTGTGAATGCACCAGGAGCCCTGCTGCAGCACGGGGCCTGCATGCTCTGAGCAAGGGCTCCATCCCATAACAAGCCCTTCATTATCCCAAACTCCCTGGGGCTTATTTTTAGCCCCTCCTTTTCTTTCTTTCTTCTTTTTTACAGTATAGAAAATCATCAGCTCCACTGTCAGCAGCTTTATAACAGCAGTCCTGGAGCAAAGAAAAAAAAGCTTCAAACCTACTGACTGTTGCATAAAGGTTTTGGCACAGATCCTGCTCACCTCCAGGGTTCTGAGTCCCACCATTCCTCATCCCTTCTCCAGCTCAGCTGCTGTCCTTCAGAGCTGGGCATCACAAGGGAGCAGAGACTTACGTAAAGCAGGAGCTGGGCTGGAGCTTTGAGCCTTCCTCTGCTTCAGCCCAAGTTCCATCAGTGCTGTGCAGAGGACACCTGAGTGCAGGGCCACCAGGAGGGACCTGGCACAGCCCGAGCCCTGTGTCATCCCGCCACACAGCACCACTGCAGGGATCCAGCCAGCCCCTGGAAAAGCCTTTCCTTATAAAACAAAGGGGAGGGTGCCCTGTGGTCAGCAGCTTTGTGCTAAACAGCAGTTTAAATCACAGGGGCTTTCTGTAAAACAGTGGCATTGCCCAGGTGAGGACACTGTATGAGGGATGTCACAGCATTCCATGAACCACGGTCACCAAATCTGCCCGAGCAGCAGCTCCCAGGGTCTGGAGTTACACTGTCTGCTTCTCCAAGTAACATCCTATTCAGTGACCATAAAGTCTATGGTTACTTACGGAATAAGGCAGCTATGGCTCCCTCCTTTCTCCACCCCAGACAGGATTCGGGAGATGAGGAAAACCCCGTCCTGTGTGGTGAAAGGCTCCAAAGTGCTTCCACGCAGGTAGCAGAGTGAAGATGCTTCACAGGGGATGTGCAGAGGTCTGCAGAGATGTCTACATAGAAATAAGTGGGGGATAGGAAAGAGAGAGGACAGCTGTTCCCATTCAAAAATTAACAAAATTAAACTCTGACATGGCAGTTTAAAAACCAGAAAGAGGCAGTTTTTTACAGACAGGGGAGCTGAGCTGGGAAATTCCTTGCTGCAGATGTGGCTGTTAGAAGTTTAAATTGCTGCAAGAAGTGCCTAGGCAAATTTCTGGAAGAAAAATCATTGAGAGGTAATAAATATAAAGATATAACATGCTTCTCTTTGAAACTCTGTTATCCACATGAAGCACTGGAGGCTGGGAAAGCTGAGTACTGCATACTTGCCCTGTATTTGTACTCTTCTCTCAACATCTGTTCTTGGACACAAGCTAAGCTAGGTGAGTCATTGATCTCATCCAGACACATTCTTTTTCTCTTTTGTAAGGGCTTCAATATGTAAAAAAAAAAATCTTTATCATCCCCTCTTACATCCCATTCAGTTTTCAAACTTCACTGCAGAAAGATGAGCCCACATCTGCTTTCCAAGGGCCCCTCCAAAACCCTTTCTGGGTGGGTTGTTAGTGCTGGATTTTCCTCCAAAGGCCCCCTCTCCCCCCTCCAAAGCTCTCTGGTCACAAACTCAAACCATAACACAGTGGCCTTTTATTCCAGCAGTAAGGAGACCATCATACATTGCTGACCAAAGCACCACCCCTGAGCAAAGCCATCCAGCAGCCTCCACCTGGAGACCCCTCATGCCCTGAAGTGTCTTTGTTAAATGGTTGCTATTTAGTGACTCTGCTCATCCAAATGTGATGCTAAAAATTATTCTGGATCCAGTCATGCCTTGGAAAATTGCAAGTCTAACTAGGACAGCTAAACTCCAACCCGCTTTTGTTCATTCCTTCTGCCTATCATTAGTATTAATATCAACTTGTCAAGTTGATCTTGATGTACAAGTCCTGTACAGCCCTGCTTCAGTGCAGGGCAAAAAAAAGGGCATCAAAAAGGAGCATCCCTTCTGTCACCTTCCTTTAATAGCAGGGACCATCCTCCTCATTTCCCAAGCAGAGTAATGAAAACCCATGGTATCCAGCAAGGTTCTTTCAGGAAAGAAACCCCAGTAATCCCTGAGCCTGGTGACCATCACTGTCAGCAGCCTGCAAGAAGCAGGCACAGAACTGCCACTGGTTGGGTTTGGTTAGGGGAGGGAGGCTGGGGAGTGTCCATGCTGGTATCTCATCTCATCTGGTTGGGTATGAGATGAGATTTCTTTCTCATTAGGAGCAGTGGCAGGACAGCAGAGCCTGCCATGTAATTCATGTGATTCCCATCAAGGCATGACTGGCTGATCAGGCAATACAGCCAGAAGCACAAAACACATTGCCCAAAGTCCAGGAGCAAATTCCCAAGACCACCCTTCTCTGGGCTGGGCTGAGAAAACACCAGACAATGCTCTTGCCCTCTTGGCTGAGTTACTTGTCCCCTGTGGTCTTTTCCCTGCCTGCCAGAACCCACCTGGAAGCACCCAAGGAACAGGATGTACCACCTTCCAGCTTTTGTTAGGGGGAGAGGAGGGCTCTGCACGTGTGTGTGCACATCACAGTCCCTGCCCTTGGCTAGGATCGATCCTGGAGGGACACGATGCCACTGCTGGGCAACATCTGTAACTGATGATTATTTAAGACACCTGTGACATCACTGCTGTGTGTGCTGGATAGGTGCTGGATTCTGAGAATGGGCTATGCTTGATTTTCCCCCTTCCCCTAAAATATTACAGCAGATATGGCTGGAAAAACACCATGGTGTCATGGCCTCTGGGTGCTTGCCCAGCACCAGGTGCCCTAGGCAGCCAAACCAACCTGTATCACAGCTGCAGTGCCCACCCAGTTCTTTTCTCTGGTAGGAGATACTGGAAGAGTTTGCTATGCTGGTGTAGAGGCACTACTGACACTGCCTAAACCCAGCGCTTATCCTCTGAATCCTTACTTTATGGTCACTAAATATTAAATGGTTTTGATGCTAAATATACATTGATTTGTGTGTTCCTTGGTGAAAGAAAGGAAGAAGGTAAGGTGGAAGCTAAGATCAGAGGCAGGTAGCCTTCCACTCATGAGTGAGGAAGGAGCGTTCGAGTGAGGACATCTTTACATAAGCATCTAGATTTAGATGAGATGGATCCTGCTTGTGACAACCTTGATTAAAAACTCAGCATTTGCCAGGACACAGTGTTGGAGCTGCCCCTTGAGTGCCTCAGTCCAAAATAACTCTGTGGTGACTCAGCTGTGTGTGTTGACAAGTGGGGACCTGCTTCCTCAGTCAGACCCAGTGCAAGCCAACAGACTGAGGCTGGGGTATCCCATGCTGGGGTATCCCATGCTGGGGTATCCCATGTTGGGGTATCCCATGCTGGGGTATCCCATGTTGGGGTATCCCATGCTGGGGTATCCCATGCACACACAGAGAGACGTGGTCAGAGATCAGGACCGCCAGGATGGAGGAGCTGCTGGGAAGGTGACACTGTCTCCAGGCTTGCTGTCCTGAAATCCCATTCCTGCTCCCTGCAGACCTGCCCCAGACCCAGCTGTGGCTGCTGCTGCCCCGCAGCTCGTCGAGCACTGAGGGCGTGAGCTCAGCATTGCACAGTGTGAGCACCTCAGGTGTGCGCAGGGACAGCTGGATGCTGCCTGCAAAAAGACTGCCACAGTGTCACCTTGGAGGCAAGAAAAGCCCAGCAGACGTTTACCCATCTTATTGCCATTAACCTCAGCAGATGTGAATGTGCATCTGTGTGAGCTTTGCCGCAGGTATCCAGCTCTGGCCACAGCCTCCTTCATCCAAGAAAGCAGCCAGTGGAGCCTTTGGCATGGGCAGCACAGTGCTGGGAGAAGTTCCTGTGGTAGCAGAGAGCCTGGGGAGGGGTCCCTGTGCATGCACTGCACGTAGGCTGCTGCCACCAGGCTCTTCCCATGGGACAACTTGGACAAAAGTCCTTTCTCCGTGCGGTGTCTCTGGCATCAACAGTGCTGCTCCCACATGCTGTGGTAGCAAACGAAGGTGCAATATGACTGTGTAGATATTGGCTATCAGCTGGTCTGTATAGACCTCCTGCATTTCCCAGCCTGCGTTCAATGAGCTCCTCTCCCTGTATTTGGGAATTGCCATTTCTTCTGCATTTTGCTTTTAGCAGCATAATAAAGTTGAGCTTCACCTCCCTGAGCCTGATAAACTGAGTGACTCAGAAACCTGCAATCTGCTTCAAAACAAAGCATTTAAGATAAAAGATATAAGCAGCAATGGAGCTACTCAGCTCAGGAGCAGAAATGCTAGAGGGTTACTCATGTGCTCTGAAACCTTCTAACCTTCCTTCAGCTTTTTTTTAACCCTTGCAAACCCTGGGCAAGGCAGGCTGCAAGTTAGAGCTGATGTGTCATTTCAGATACGCTTCCAGTCCAGTGGGCAAGCCCTGGGGCTGGGAAGCAGAAGAGCTCTGATGCCAACACCGATGACGCGGAAGGGGGAGAGCCGAGCTCTCGCTCCGTGGCCTCCAAAGTGCTCCTCTTTCTGCTGGTTAAACAGATGCCAGCCTCTGAGGGGATTATGTGTCATCGAGCCTGTTGGCTGCGACAACTAATTATCTCCCACAACAGTTTGGCCTGGAGATTTGCAGTTCAAAGGGCAAATACCCATGAGTGCTGCCATCCAGTGCCCTGTGTAGCAATTCGTCCCCACTTGGGTTTCCCTGTTCCCAAAGAGGTGGCACCTCCAAGACACCCTGTCCTCTCCTGGCTCAGGAGCTTCCCGTGCCTGCAGCTGGGTGTTGGTGTGGCAGCCATGCCATGACATGCTCCTTCAGCTGAACTTCACAGGGTGCACACACCAGCAGAGTCCAGTTCAGCTGCAGCCAAATCCAGGGGAAATAATATCTGCTGCAGCTGGAGATGGGAGGAATTCCAGGGGAGAGCAGCCAGAGGAGTAAAAACAGTTATGGAATGCAGCCTCAAAACCAGCACTGAAAATACTGTATAACTTCATATAAATTGATGGTTGACCCTCATCAAGACTCCCAGGAACAGATGAAAAGCAGACACAGGCAACTGAAAGAATTTAAGTCCTTGAGAAACACACTGAGAGTAGTGGAAAAGGCTGGAGATGAGGGAAGAGATGAAGAGGGAAGTTAAAAGAAAAGGCAGAGGGTGTGTTGACAAGCAGGTATCCACTTTTTAGCATCACCTTGAAGTGTTTCAATGGTGAGGACAGAGGAGAGCCTGTATCTCCAACACCAGCACTGCAGGGCTGCCTCGGTCTGCGGGGCCATGGGAAGAGGGGCAGCTGTCCCTTAAACAACAGGAGGTGACACCAGTTGTGAATAGATGAGTGATCGTGGCTTCAGCCGTCACAGCAGAGGATCTGACTTCAAATGAAGCCCCATTCACCCATCCTGGGCCCATCATAAGGTTGTTAAAGGGAGCATCTGTCACAAAACCACAATGCCTTTAAATACTCGGAAAAGGGTACAGCAAAAATAAGCCTGCTTAGCTTATATACTTTTCTCTGGGCGATGTGGTTCTTAGAACTCCTTAGCAAAAATAAAGTACAAATAAGATGGTAGGGAAAATACGTGGTGTGAGCAGGGTGAGGTTTGGTTTTGACCTTAGCAGAGAGTTTGGCTGTGTGTTTGTTGTTCCAGTCTAGTGGAGTAGGTGTGAAACACAGTGGCAGGGCGTTTTCTTGGGTAGCAGAGTGCAGAGCCCCAGCACACCAGGTTCTGCTCTGGAGCCCTGGCTCAGAGCACTCCCTCCAGGACACAAATGGAAAGCCATTCCCTGGTTTTGGGTGCAGCAGGGAAAGCACCTCCAGCAGCAGGACAGGGCCAAGTTTGGGTGAGAAAGACTTCACTGTGTGATGCAGTTCTGTGTTTATAATTCATATTAAATTGTAATTCCAAAT